AGGCTTGCAACCTGCTCCTCCTTTGGGGCCTCCCCAAATCAAGTTTTGCTCTGCTTATTCTGCCCCTAGGATTTCTCCCATCTGTCCCCTTTCCATCCTCACCATCATTGCCCAAGTCTAGACCTTCACAATCCTCTGCCTGAATCATTGCCACAGCTTCCTGGCTGGTCTGCCTGTGAACTGCCTCTTCCTGTCCAATCCACTTCCCAGCCTACAGCCAGATTAATTTTCCTGTAGTACTTTGTGAATTGTGTCACTTCTTTGCTTAAAAAAAAAAAAGTTTTTAAGCCTTTCACGGCCCCCTGTTGCCCACAGAATACAATCTAAATTCCCTAGTCTGGGTTAAATGCCTCCACAATTTGGCCCCAACTTCCCACCCCAAACGTACCTCAACCTCATAAACTGTTCAGTTCAGTCATACTTGCTGTTCTCCAGACAAATCCAGTGCTTCTCTATATCCCCACCTTCCCATATGTTGCTTTCTCTTTCAAGAATCCCCTTTTCAAATTTTCCATGACCTCACACTGGGCATCCTTCAAGGCCTACCTCAGATACCTTCTCCTCCAAGAAACTTTTTTTGTTTTCCCCTTCTGACACCCTGTGGGAGTAATCTCTCTCTCCTGTGACCTCTCATAGTCTGTTATACTATCTTATCTCACAGATGTAATTTTTTACTTTGCATTGGAGTCATCTATATGCATGAGCCTTATTTTTAGAGAGGTAGCTCAGCTCCCTTGACTCATCTTTCTGTTCTCCATAGGGCCAATCACAGAGCATTTCTCTGTGTTCATTGCAGAATAGGTGCTCAGAAAATATTGGTTGAATGGATGGATAAAATAATGCACGACTGGGTGGGTGGGTGGATGGATGGATGGATAAGCATTTGCCTCTAGGGCTAAGCCAAGTGTATATGTAGTTTGACGGTGGCTATTAACAAAGTAAAATGAGGAGCAAGAGGGAGCTAACAGCTCTTCAAATATTACTAGAATTTATCCAGGTCCTCAGTGGTGTAGTTAAAAGCATTATAAAGTAAATGCTAAAAGGTCAGGAAAAGGATGAAGCTCTGGAAGGGAGTCTTTCCATGGGCACCAAATACTGAGTGTGACTCTGATGGTCAGAGTCTTGTCCTGGAGATGCCATCGATTTGAGAAATATGGAAGATTATAGACTGTCCTACTATGCACCTGACACAGTACTAGGTAGGTACTGTGAATGATACCAAAACTGAAGACACAGTCATTTTCAGCTCCACGACTTTGCACAAAAGTTTTTTAACTTCCCTGAGCCTCAGTTTCCCCATCCGCAAAATGGGTCTATCTTATAGGGTTGTTGTGGAGATGAAACAAAATAATCCTTGTAAAGTACTCTTCAAAATACCCAGCATATAATGAATATTCAAAAAATGATAGCTATCATTATTGTTGTTGCCCTCCAGAAGTTAGCAGTCAGTCTAGTTAGGGAAATCAAGTGCTAAATTATATGGTTCTCTTTAAAGCCCCACTGGAATTTGAAGAAGCGTTTATCAGTGAGAACTAATGTAAAAATGGCATGGTGGGGGTGTCTGACCTCCTCTAACTTCACAAGGGGGAGAGAGAATCACCATCAGCATCAGCCCAAAGCTGATGCCTATGAAGCGGAGGTCAGACATACCTCCTCTCTCCAACCTTTTTACCAGTTCTAACACAAGCCATCCCTCCCTTGGCACCCTCTGCTTCTCTGCTAGGTTTGATAATTTGTTGCAGTGGCCACACAGGACACCCAGAAAATACTCACGATTATGGGGTTTATTAGGGAAGTAACAGGTTATAGTTCAGGATCAGTAACGACTCAGAATACAGTTCCTCAGTCAGGACAGCTTCTCAGCCATGTCCACAGGCAGGCCTCTGCCTGGTCCTCGGCCTCTTGGCCCATTGGACTCCTTGGGCCTCTTGGGCCCACCCAGCCTCTGCCCTGCTGGGGCAAATGTTACAAAGCTCTTTAGCCCCACTGTTAAGTGCCCAGAGGCACCCCACTCTGCCAGTAAGCCTCAGCCTGAAGACCCTCAGCTGTCTCGCTTCCTGGGTCTGCAAGCCTAGCTCCGACAGGTGCCTGGAGACACCTCATTCTACCAGGAAGCCTCTTGCCCTAAGGTGCTTAGCTCTCTCACCCCTTGGGCTGGAAAGCCCACCATGCCTTATCTTGCCAGTCTTCTGCTTCTGCTGTTGCTGGTTCTCTGCTGCACTTGCCGCAGCTTCTTGCCATCTTGCTCTGTCTCTGATGTTACAGCTGTCTGTCTCCTGGGTCTAGGAGGTTCTCAGTGAAGGAACCCCAAGTCCAAAGGACGTGCTCTGCTCCTGGCTCTTCGTTCGTGGTGATAGTGAGGTCTCCCCTTTCTGCCTCTGGGATGGCTCATTCTAAGCCTAGCGGGATGGCAAAACTGACCAATCCCGTCATTAGGGTTCCATACACCTTATTTGCCTAGTCTTACCTCCACAAGGGTGCCATTCACCTTATTCACATTATTAGCAGAGCTGTCCAGTCCCCTTGGTGGTCCATTAGCATCTTATTTGCATAGTCCCATCCAGTCAATAAGCAACATCATGATAAACAGAGAAAAGATTGAAGTTGTCAAGGATTTCATTTTATTTGGATCTATAATCGATGCCCATTGAAGCAGCAGGCAAGAAATCAAACAGCATATTGCACTGGGAAAATCTGCTGCAAAAGACCTTTTTAAAGTATTAAAAAGCAAAGATGTCACTTTAAGGACTAAGGTGTGCCTGACCCAAGCCATGGTGTTTTTAGTTGCTTCATATGCATGTGAAAGCTGGACAGTGAATAAGGAAGACCGAAGAAGAATTGACGCCTTTGAATTATGGTGTTGGAGAAGAATATTGAATATACCAT